TCTGGACCTGATCACAGGTATTTCTGCTGATAAGGGTTCAAGCAGTTCAACGCCAAAAGTGAGAATTAGTAAATTTAGAGGAGGGCAGGAGAGGTGGACTTCAGATCAGATGAGAGGATCGGATGAGGTCTGATACAAACAGCATTTCAAGTGGCCCTGCACTGTTTTGTCACTCCTTTTCTCATGGAGAGGTTGGTGGTCTTATTTGCTCTTGGAGGAGCTTGAGAGCGAAGTGGAGATAATTACACGTAGAAACAAAGCTACTCTGGTGTCGAGGCTATCATTGTGGCCTACTTATTAAAAGTCCATTGAAAAGTAAGGATCCCACTGCTCCCTGGCTGATGGTCCCCTGGCAAAGGATATTCCTCATAAAGCTGCTACTTAGCGCTAAAAATCTCTTGCCAAGAGCAGGGACTTCACATGATTCTGCTTCCCATTTGTCAGAACATGGAGCAGCCGCCTGCTCCGAGGCAGGGTGCATGGACCTGGCATGCCACCTTCCCCAGTGCTGGTGGATGAAAGGTGTTCCCGTCTCATGGATCATTATGTGGAATATTGGGGTTCCTGAGATAAAGATCCTTTCTAAAATAATCCTCGGTGTTCAGGTATGGAAAATGGAATTTAATGCTGCAAGGGGGGAATCAACAGGAAGAGGAATAACTTCCAAGTGTGTAATTTGAGAAATTATTGAAAACATAATAATTGAAAACAAAAGAAAAGAAAAAAGTTTCTGTCGTGGTAAAACAATCTGATCCAATAATCAGCATAAATCTGATTAAATAATCTGCATAAATTTGCATGAGCTTGTATTGAAAGGCCCTCACATGGATGTGTTGCCTGGGGGGCTGTTGCAGTTGCTTTTTAGGATATTCCAGAGATCATCTCTATGTGGATGTCCCTAATTCTGTAGCGGGGGCACCAAAAGTTACCTAAAGGGGCTGACAAGAAATGTTGAGAAGGACTTTTTACAAAGGCCTGTAGGGACAGGAGTGGCTTTAAACTGAGAGAGGGGAGACTGAGATGAGAACTCAGGAAGAAGTTCTTCCCTGTGAGGGTGCTGAGGTGCTGGCACAGGGTGCCCAGAGAAGCTGTGGCTGCCCCATCCCTGGCAGTGTTCAAGGCCAGGTTGGACACAGGGGCTTGGAGCAACCTGCTCGAGTGGAAGGTGTCCCTGCCCGTGGCAGGGGGTTGGGACTGGATGAGCTTTACGGTCCCTTCCAAAGCAAACTATTCTGGGATTCTATGAAAATTGAAGCTAGGCAATTAGTGCCATGTGTGTCGCTCTTTGGGCAAGCTGCTCAGCCGGGCTGTGGTAGCGCAAGTGTTGGGCTGAAGCTGTGCTGGAAGAAAAGTGACTCTATTTCAGCATAATTATTCTGTGCGGAGCGCAGGGTTTTTATTCCTGAATATAAATTCCCTTTGCTTTTGGAGCGGTGTTGTCCACATGGCTGCAGCACTCCACTTGTGCTTCCTGCGGCAGTGCCGGTGAATTCCTGGGGGAGAATCCCTGGGGCTCCCATGCGGTGCTGGGATGGGGAGGTGGGTGGTCATCCCGCCAGGAAAAGCCGCCGATGCTCCCTCCGGCAGCGGGTCAGTCATCAGCGCTGATGGGCGGCCGAGGAGCCGCCAGCCCGCCCTGGGCTGACTCAGATGAAGTCATGTGTGGATGGATGGATGCGGGACGTGCCGTCACACCGTCCCCCTTGGCGCTGCTGTCAGACAGTGCTCATATAGCCCCTGGTGAAAGGGCCCCATGTGTGAGCACTGATGCTTTCAAGGACTCACTCCATGGCACGTGGCGGGACGGAAGCTGCCCAGACCCCCCTTCCTCCACTGGGGAGCGGTGCCAGAGCTGTACCGGCGGGACTGGGGCCTGTGGTGTGACCTGGCCGGGCAGCCAGCAGGGCCCTGCCAGGGCTGACAGCCTTTCCCAGGCCCACCCTCTTCCCGTCTCCTGCCAAACCCCAAATGGAATTATCCGTCCCACCGGCTGTCCCGCCCTCCCCAAACACAAACCATTCCCCTCACTGACGCGGATAAACAGCCCCAGCCTGGAGGTTTATAAACAACACCAGTACTTTTTTCATGGAAGCACTGTCCCGGCTGGCAGGGCTCGGGCTACCAGACGGGTGCTGCCTGCCCACAGTCCCATGGCTTCATGCTCCCCATCCCTGATGCAGGAGCAGAGCACTCGCCGAGGTCCAGCCTTGCTGTGCCACCACCTCTCCTCCATCCGCAAGGACCAGGTCTGGAGCTCAGCAAGCTGCCTCTTCCACTGCACACTGTGTGTGTGCCCCTGCTCCACTAACCACAGTGGCTAATGAGATGAAGGATATTTGTTTCTGGGAAGTGTTTGATTTTCATCAATCCAGGGAGTGTCTCCTCATTAGCGACAAAGGGCTTGACAACTTCTCTTTCAGATGTGGGGAGATAACCTGTCATAAAATCCTGGTTTAATAATGCAGCCCATCACACTGAAACAGGCAGCTTTGCTGCCACAAATACCTGTAAGTTATTCCGCAAGCATTTAAGCCTGTGCTGACTTGAGTGCTCTATTTCAAAGAGTACCGACGTGATCTGTGGAGCAGATCTGTGATGGAGCAGTTTGCATGGTTGGAAGTGGTGCCTGGGATGTCAGTGTCAGGGTATGTTGTGATGGGATGTTGCTGCGAGGTGGCTCTGCTCACTGTCCTGTCCCCCAGCTCTGCCCCGTCCTGCTGTCCTGTGTAGGCTGAGCTGGGTCAGCTCGCTGCCAGGACACAGAAGGGATTGAATTTGGTTCATTTTCTGGCTAGGTCCACATCTGCAGTGTGACAGCACTGCTGGGGAAACCTGCCCAGCCAGGTTGAGGCTGCAGGACCCTTGAGAAGAAGTCAGATCTGGTCAGACCCTGTGGTCCTGGTCCTGCTCAAGTGCAGCCTCACTGGGAGAAATGTCTTGTGTTTATCCCTTGGGTGATCGTGTGTGTGATGCTGTTTAGCATCAGGGTGCCTGCGCAGAGGAGGTGGGCAAGGTGTGAGAATGGCTAGTTTGAGCTGGT